GATTGACATCTTAAAATAAAATACCTGAAATCCAAAGGAGGGGTTCTCATCACCCTGGGGGTCAGTCATGCTGCCCCAGAGAGTTCCTGACGGACCCCCCAACACCCCCGAACAAGAACGCCCTCTCTCATCCGGTCCCCTGGCCAGGTCGCAGCTTAGGGGCGGGGCTGGTACGCTGTGACCAGGCAGGGGATGGAAAGGCTGGTGTGTACCAAGCAGGACTGAAGACTCGGGGTGTCTGAGAACTAAAGTGGGGAGACAGGTGACAATGAGTGTTCTGGCCTGCCCTGGGCTGACTCGACCTCCCCTGGTTTTCGGACCCCCGGACCCTCTAAAAATCACACCTCCCTCAACCGAGAGTATCTCAGGCCGCCTTCTGATCACACACAGATGCTTTCATCTCAGTATCTGCAAAAGCCCCGCCCTTCACTTTGGGGCTCTTTTTTTTTTTAATCCTCACCCGAGTATATTTTTCCATTTATCTTCAGTGGCGTAGGAGGGAGGGAGAGAGAGAGAAACATCAATGTGAGAGGGACACATCGACTGGTGGCCTCCTGCACGACCCAACCAGGGCTGGGGACTGAACCACAACCACGGTACGTGCCCTTGACCAGAATCAAACCCGTGATGGGCCAAGCTCTAACCGCTGAGCCGCACTGGCCAGGGCTGGGGCATACTTTTAAACACAGCTCCAGCAGCTGCTGTCTCCCCAGCCTTGGTGAATCGCACCTGTTTCTCTTTCCCACGTGACCACTGAGGCCTGTGAAGACGCGGAGCCCACCCTTCATGGAGCCCCGAGCTGAACGGTTGCTCTCGTCTGACAGGAAGCTGCTCTCTGAGCTGTGCGCAGGCCTGAAGTGAACCCACTCTCCGTGGGAATGCTTCTAATGGGCCGAGACAGCAGTGACGGGACCACAACGCTCACCGCTGAGCTGGAGAAAACAGCTAGTGGCCAGGGACCAAACCTGCAACCCAGGCAGGTGCCCTTGCCTGAGAATCAAACCCACCACCTTCCAGTCTGTGGGCGAGGCTCTAACCGCTGAACACACCACCCGGGGCAATAATTGTTTTTTTTTAAAGGTGCAGTCTAGATGTGAAACTACTCATCTACCACATCACTGTCCGATGAAACCTCCCGCAATGGCCACAAATGTCTGTATCTGTCCAACACGAAAGCCACTGGCCACGTGTGGCCATTGGGCACTTGATATGTGGGTATTTTGACTGAGAAAGTGACCCTTCCCTCTTAAGATTTAATTTACTTAAATGTAAATGGCCACATGAGACTGGAGACTACTGAATACTGGCCAGCAGAGAGGGCAGGGTGGGCGGGACAGGCTTGTGCCCTCGGGGGCACTTTCGTGAACAGCACCCCCACTACCAAGCCCCCAGCGAGTCTGCTCCATTTGAGGTTGTCGGTAAAGGCGGGATCGCAGGTCCAGCACGTGGCTGAGGAAAGGGGAGGGTCAGCAAGCGGGGCGGAGCCGACCCAGCAGGGCGGGGCCGACCCAGCAGGGCGGGGCCAACCCAGCAGGGCAGAGCCAGCCCAGCAGGGCGGAGCCTGGAGGGAGGCCTGCTGACCGCACATGGGGAGGAGCCAAGCTCCGAAGAGCAGAAGAGGGCAGGGTTTTCCTGCGCAAACACGCAGAGCTGACTGCCCTGTGTGCCCAGACGAGGTCCCACGGTGCTGCCTCCCTCACCAGGATGTGGCGAGAAGCAAAGGAGAAAGGGCACAGAGCCCCTTGGCACACTGCCCCGTGCAGCACACATTTAACCAATTGCAGTTCTTTTATCATCATTTTACAAATTAGCTCTGGCCGGTTTGGCTCCGAAGTTAGAGCGTCGGCCCGTGGACTGAAGAGTCTCGGGTTCGATTCCGGCCAAGGGCACGTACCTCAGTTGCAGTTCATCCCGGCCCAGGTCGGGACTGTGTGGGAGGCAACCAGTCGATGTATCTCTCTCACGTCAATGTTTCTCTCTCTCTCCCCCTCTCTCCCACTCTATCTGAAGATAAATGGAAAAATAACCTCAGGTCCGAATAAAAAAATAATAATAATAAAATTAAAATAAAAATTATTCTATTGTACAAAATGTGCCTGAAATAATTACAACCTGAAAAATTCCATAAGCAGATATTAATAATCGCAAGACAGCGCCCATACAGTATTGAACTGGAAACAGCTGTGTACTCACGAACACGTCAAGTAAGCTGGTGGTAAACAGCCTGCGGAAGTCGACGAGCGGACCTTGTGTGTTTTGGAACTTGACCATCGGGTACCGGGGGACCGCTGCCAAACCCAATGACGTGGGTTTTGAATTAACTGCTTTAAGGTCAAGTCATTCGATCGGAGGCCACGGCCTGGACCCGGGGAAATAAAACTGCACGCTCAGCATCCAGGCAACTGCTCCTGCAAGTCGTTACCACGCACGTGGAAGAGTCTGAAACACACCTGCTTTGTCTCCCTTGAAATTCTCTCATCTGTCAGGAAACTCCTCGCATGACTGATGCGGGCAGCGGGGCTCCGAGCCTCCTGTGAGCCCCAGCAGCCGGGGTCTGCCTCTGGGGCATGACCACGTCCTCCAGATGAGCGGAGGGCTGGCGGAAGGTCAATAAAATCAACATTTCTGAGAAATCCTGTCCCGAGACACCTACTGCCACGGGCCCATAAGGAGCATTGGCCCACACCTACGACTCCAGGCACTGCTCACGCCAAGGTCACAGCGGACGAGGACCCGCACCCGTCACGGAGAGCACCGCTGAGTATCCGGGAGGTAATCGGCCACGCTCCCGCTTAGGGACAACAGGTGTCTCCTATGGAACAGCTCAGCTACACCCCAATCTCAGGTGTGACCACTCCGGCCTGACCACACCCCAATCTCAGGTGTGACCACTCCGGCCTGACCACGGGCAAGTCCGAGGCTTTGCCTGGCAGACCTCCGGGAGGAAGCGCCCAGCCCAGAGTTGGTGCAGAGCTGGTGCCCTGCAGTTTTCTAGAGGGAGTGAGCGTCAGGGGCCCGGGCCCAGCCCCCACCCCACCCGGGCCAGCCATGCCGGGACCACAGCTGCATTCCTAGCCCAGCCCCTCCAGGGGCCTCCTCCTCACAGGCCTGGGCTAAGGCACTTTCTCCTCTCTGACCGTACTTTTCTCCTCTCACCTGCCCCCTCTCCCCTTGCAGACCCCCCCGCCCCCTCCTATCCTTAAAAAGGCAGAAGCCTTCGGTTCCCGGCTCCTCCGCAGTGATCTGCCCCCACCTGCTCACCATCCCTGCCGGCGCTGTTCCCTGGGAGCAAATGGAACACGGGGAGACAGCACCCCTCTCTCCTGCTGCCTGCCTTGCCACGAGAAATAAAGACTTGACTGTTACTCTCAGTTTGGCTCATTGTCCCAATGGACCACCGCAACCCCTGGCAGGACCACACCCAGATCCGGAAAGCAAACTTCCCAGGGGCTGACACAGACTTCTCCCGTCTCGTTGCCTGGACGGAGCTACACGTGGCTGTTCTCAGGGTTCTGCAGGGAGGAAAGGGCTGGTCAACCACCCAGCAGAGCCTGGCAGAGCCTGGAGCCTGGCAGAGCCTGGAGGTGAGTGGCAGGGAAAGTAGGAGGCTTAGGAGTTCAGGAAAGAGAGGTGTTCCTGGGCCACGTGGAGACGGGGCAGGGAGAGGCCACTTTGAACTGTGCTCTGACGGATGGTGCGGTGTGGAGCCAAGAAGCGTGACAGGTGGAATAAACGGGCTACGGACAGGCTTTGAGGAAGGAACCTCCTGCTCTGGTGGAGAAGAAAGAATGTTTTGACTCAGGAAATAGAACAACTGCCCTCGGTGGGGGGCTGGCACCACCCCGGAGGCACTTGAGCAAGTCCAGCGCCGGCAGGTCACTGAGCAACACCTACAAGCACGTGCTGCTGTCGGCTGAACATGGCAGTGACATCCGTGCCCAACCAGTCGCCTTCACACACGTAGATGACACCGTGCAGACAAAGTAAACACTGCCTCGTGCGACCAAGGTAAGCCTGGCACTGCAGCCATCTCTGTGCTAACGCCCAGCCCAGCAGGGCCCACGGTGCCCATCCACGGGCCCAGAGCAGCAGGTGGCCCTGGGACACACGGCTCTGCTCCTACGACGAACGGAGCAGCCTTTCGGTTAAAACAATCGATCAGAGAGGCTCCTGAACAGCAACCTGTTCGAGTTGATGGCGTCTTTCTGTTTGTTGTAGGCTGTGTGTGTGTGTGTGTCTGTCTGTCTCTGTATGTCTGTGTCTGTGTGTGTGACGGGCAAGGACACTGGTCACATGGGAATGCAGTCAAGGACAGCAGCACACAAGGTCCATGCAGCACGTCCTCTGTACCCCCAGGAGGCCCGGCTCCCCTGCACCTGGTTAACAGGAGTGAGGCCTAGACCAGCAGTGGGGTTAGCACAACCAGCGAGTGGGGTTCTTCAGGCCTCCTGTGGACTAATAGGTCTGAGATTCTTCCCGTGTCCGAGGGGACGACACCCCGGGAATGTGCAGCGAAAGCGTCCCTTCTAGATGGTGCCCAACAGTCCCATTTTGTAAACAGCTACTTTCCCTTCCCGGACCCCAGCTGGTGATCAGATACCCCTGCTCATCATCTCCCCACGTGCCTTCCTGAATATTCCAATGTGGGATTCTCACCACGTGACGGTGCCGAGGTGGAAGGGAGCAGCGTGCACACCGCCCCCCCCCCCCCGACCTCCTGCAAGGGGAGGGAACGCAATGGCCGACAGAGAAGGACACCTTTTCATCACGGTCCTTCCTCCCTGTGGCTCCACCGCCCTGCTGTGTGCTCAGCGGTAGTCGTTAGAGGAGAACCTGGGGGAGCCCCCGGAAGCCTCGGGCAGCCCTGCCAGCTGCACCTGCTCCCCCAGGCAGAGCTCGGCAGGGGCTAGAATGTGCACCTGTCCGGGGACGAACCCACCTGAGACCACCAGGAAGCAGCCTGTTCAAATTGTCAGAAATTAAAGGATGAAAACCCTACTCATTTTAAGGAAGAGACAAGAAACGCTCGTTGGATTAAGATGACTTCCAAGCTGTCAGCCTCAGACACAACTTCCTCTTTAGAGATTTCTCCTTCTTTAACCCCTTTAAAAGTATAATTCTTTTAATTCCATAAAATTCACCCATTTGAGGTGTACAGAGCAACTGAGTTTTAGTCAAGTTACGTGTTTTTGTAACTGTCACTACACTCAGCCTTTGGAATACTTTGTCACCCCCACAATACCCTTGTGCCCACTGGCCATCAAACCCTGCTCCTACGCCAGCCCCGGGCAACTTGCTTCCTGTCTCTGTACTTTTGCCTTTTGCAGAAGTCTCATATGAATGCCATCACACAATATATTCTTTTGTTTACGAAGACTCCTGTAGGTATTCATTAATTTCTTTCAGCAATGCTTTGTAGATTCTTACACATTTTAGTTAAATGTATGCCTACACATTTTAGTGTTTGTTTGTTTTTTAATCCTCACCTGAGGATATTTTTCTATTTATCATCAGATAGAGGGAGAGGAGGGAGAGAGAGAAACATCGATGTGAGAGAGACATATTGACTGGTTGCCTCCCACACAATCCAACCAGGGACAGGGACGAACTGCAACCAAGGTACGTGCCCTTGACTGGAATCAAACTTGCGATTCATTGGTCCGTAGGCCAATGCTCTAACCACTGAGCAACTGGCCAGGGCTTATTTTTCATTCTATCATAAATGATTTTTTTAAAAGGTTGATGCCATTTTTATTAAATTACCCAGTTAAGCCTAACTATCTTTGTGGGTAGAAGGTGGGTCAGTACATCTTGTTAGTCTGATATGTAGCTAAACAGCAACAAATCTTTTTCAACTACTAGAATCTTGATAGAAATGATCAATTGAACTTCCAGACCAGTATTTTCATTTATTCTTTATATTATAAAACCCATGCAATAATTTATAAAATATATACAATATAGTTCATTTCTTAATAACTTCTCAAAAAGGAACTGGTGAGAGCCATAGCCAGAACTAATCAAAGGAAAATGATGTCCCTGAATTGGTCTGTATTCTGTATTTTCACCATCAGTTTGGCAATGGCATTGTTTTCTTAATTTTATTTTTGAATTATTAATTGCTAATATACAGAAAAACAACTTATTCTTACATATTGTTCTTATACCTGTGGCCTTGCTGAACTCCCTTTTAATCCTAGTAGCTTTTTGGTAGATTTAAGGTTTTCTACACATAAATTGTATTGTCTATAACCCAAGATAATTTTACTTCTTACCTTCTAACCTGTATACCTTCGTTTCTTTTTCTTGCCTTATTGCACTGACTAGCATCTCCAGTGCAATTTTAAATAAAAATAGATAGAGCAGACATCCTTGTCTTCTTTGAAATCTTAAAGAGAGAAAGCATTTGGGCTTTTAGTGTTAAGCATGATGTTAACGGTTGAGGAAATTCTAATCCTAATTTGTTGAAAACTTTTATCATGAATGCATGTTGGATATTTTCAGGTGTTTTCTATGTCTATTGAGATAATCCTATGGTTTCTGTCCTTTATTCTATTAATATGGTATATTATGCAAATTTATTTTTAATAAATCAACCTTGCAGTATAAGGAGCTTAGAAGTCACAACGCCATCCTAACAACAAGTAAAACACTGGAAACTCAATAGCTCTTCTTAGTTCCATCAGAGAAGTGAGGCCACAAGACAAACCGATGCCCCAGAACTGGGGAGACACAGGTGAACACCGAGAACCGTACTCACCAGAGCAGAAAACTGCAGGAGCGGTGCTGGGGCAGGAAACCTGACCTGGAAGTGACCATCGCTGGCAGTTCAGCGTGGACACTGCTGAGAGAGAAAAACTCCAGGGGGTTCCAGTCGTCAGAGGCCCCTACACTGTTGTGAGTTTTACCTCCAGGAGCTCCACCAGGTTCTCACTGTGAAGCGTGGAGAAAAATCCCCTCCTGCTTCCGGCAGGGGGAGGGGAAAGGAACCTCTTTAAAAGATACCAGATCATTCTGTTCTCCTTAAGGAGGCTGCCCTCAGGGGAATCTGTTACCAGAACATATCCGGTTCAGGTTTACCCAGCCTGACCTACCTGGAGGAAGGGATGTAGCACACTCCAGCTCCCTCTAGCCACGCCGTCCCACCTGAGGAAACGAAGAAGCACTGGGGAAATTCCGAGTCTGCGGCCACAGGCTCAACCAAAGCCAGACGGAATCACAGACCTGGAGAAGGCCTCCCTGCCCTCCCCCACACCCCATCACTGGAGCCCTACTGACCACAGGTCATCGTGTCTGCTTTCCCAGAACAGCAAAGGCCAAGGCACAGTTTGAGCCAAAGACAGACATAGCAGGGATGCCGGGATTATCAGACCAGGATTTTCTTTTTTAACTACCGATAAAGGACACATAACATCACATGGACAATGCAAGCAGAGAGGTGGAAATTCTAAGAAAACAAAGAAATGCTAGAGATCCTAAATGGGGTGACGGACATGAGGAAGGCCTCAGGTGGGCTCTTTTGTAGACTGGCCGCAGACACAGAAAGAATCTCTGAGCTTGAGGATGTGACGATAGAAACTTCTGAGACTGAAAAGCAAAGAGAACAAAGACTTAAAAAAAAAAAACAGAACAGAACATCCAAGCACCGTGGGACCACTGCCAGGGGTAGGACTTGTGCGAGGGGACCACCAGACCGAGAAGAAAACAAGCTTGCATTCCTAGAATACACACCATTTGGTCAAGGTGATCACCCTTTTCATAGACTGCTAGCTCGGGTTGCTGGTATTTTGTGAGAGATTATTGTGTCCATGTGTGTGAGAGAGACTGGTCAGTAGTTTTCCTATGTTACCTCTGTCTGGCTTTGGTATCAGGGTGACACCAGCTTCATTAAAGGAGGTGGACAGAACTTCTCTCAGATCTATTTTCTGAAAGTGTTTGTGTAGAATTAATATTATATTTTCCTTATAGATGTCATAGACTTCCCCAGTTAGACCATCTAGACCAGGGCTCTTCTTTGGGGGATGTTATTCTTTTGACGATTCAATTTGATAGACCTTCATTGGGTGCCTATGATACATGGATCTCTTTAGTCGTCTCTGAGGAAGTATAATTTCCTATTTTTGTGGCGTTTACAATCTAATATAAGAAAACAAATCCCGCCCTGGCCAGTTTGGCTCAGCGGTTAGAGCGTCGGCCTGCAGTCCGGAGAGACCCGGGTTCGGTTCCCGCTAAGGGCACGTACTTCGGTTGCAGTTTGTCCCCGGCCCTGGTTGGTCGTGCGGGTGGCAGCCACTCGATGTGTCCCTTTCTCATCGATGTTTCTCACTCTCTCTCCCTTCCTCTCTCTCCCTCCCACTCTATCTGTACAAAAAATGGAAAAATGTCCTCGGGTGAGGATAAAAAAAAAAAAAATTAAAAAAAAAAAAAGAAAGAAAACAAATCCCACATCCCAAGTTGATGGCGCCATAATACTACAAAGACTATTTGATTACACGTGGGCATCCCGGAGAGCAGCCTGTGAGCTGAGACTTGTATTAAAATTCAGCTTCTGTCATCACCTGGGAATCTGGCCTTAATCACGCAAATCAGTTTCCCCACTGTGAAATGAGAGAGTTCCAGTAGGAGGGCTAAGAGCCTTCCAGTAGGGAATTCAAATTATTTGGTGTGTGATAAAAACACAAAAATGAATTCTGCCACAAACGGCGATCTGAGAAAAAAAAAAATTTAACTTGTAGCACAGATAAAATGTTATTCTTCATGTATAAGGAGATCCTAGAAATCAGGTAGAAGAGATTCAGAAAAATAAAATCCAGTTGCCAGAAAAATGGTCCTTAAATACATGAAAAGTGCTTCAATCTATCAAAATGAACTGTCCACTAGCAACAACCAAATAGAAAATGTAATTTTCAAAAGATAAATATTTAGAGCAATAAAATGCATTAAATATCTAGGAGTTCATCTAATAAATTTTGTGTCGAAAGATTGCTAAGAAAAATTAGAGAAGACCTAAGTAAACATTTATGAATTGAAAAACTGAGAAATGTTAGAATGTCGATTTTCCCCCAGATTTATGCACAAATTCAGTGCTACCCACCTCAACATTCCAGCTGGGATGTACCACCCGTATTCTAAAACTCACATGGAAATGCAAAGGACCTGGAAAAGCAAATACAATCTTGAAGAATAAAACCAGAGCGTTTACACAACCAGGTGTCAACACTTTAAAAATAAACATAAATAAATAAATGACAATAATGAGGCAATATTCTATGAATGCCAATGAACAGCACAGAGCCCAGAAATGGGCCCACGTGGACATGGCCACCAGTCCCTAAGGGAAAGCATCATCCCTCTTCCCTCTGTAAATGGCACTGGGCCATCGGATGACCGCACAGAAAAAAATAGGAACCTTGACCCTTAAATTCTACAATGTACAAAAATTCATCTGAAAAGGGTCATAGACCTAAATGTGAAAGTTGAATCAATAAAGCTTCGAGAATAAAACGTAAGAGAACATCGTCATGACCTTGGGATGAGCAGAGACTTCTTAAATAGCACACAAAAAGCACCAACCGTTAAAAAAGATGGGTAAGTTCAACTTCATTTAGATTAAGACCTTCGATTCTCCAAAAGATACCATTAAGAGAGTCAAAAGGGTGACGCATAAACCAGAAGGGGTTTGTTACACAGGGGTGGGCGAAAGTAGGTGTACAGTTGTCAGTCTGTGAAACACAGTTTATTCTTGTACTATTTATTAATTACTGTATTATTTATTTGTATTACAATTATAAACCTACCTTTTCTCACCCCTCTCTCTATATAAAATAATTGATATATAAATAAAATGAAATCTGAACTCATATATAGAACACATAACTCCTGCAAATCAGTAAGAAATAGACAAAACCAATTAAAAGTGAACCAAAGGTTTGAAAGACACTTCATAAAAAATACTCAAAAGACCAATAAACACATGAGTAAGCACTCAACATCATTAGTTATCAGGAAAATATACATTGAAACCACAATTAAACATCACTCCACTTTCACCAGACTGACTAAAATCATCAACACTTAAATACCAATGTCTCGAGAACATGGAGCAATTTGAACTCCGAGATATTGCTGTTGGCAGAGTCAATTGGCACGACCTCTTTGGAAAACTGCTGTGTCTCCTAAAGCTAAGCATACACCTGCCACTCCAATCCTGAGTTCATAGCCAAGAGAAAAGGAATACACTGTGTCTTGTAAATCACACGTCAAAAACATCGAGAGCAGCTTTGTTCATAAGCGCCAAAATCTAGAAACAACTAACATGTCTATTTTTCTGGAAAATCGATATAAATTGTTGCATATTAATACAAAGCAAAATGCATCATCAACAACAAAAAACATGAACTACTGTCTGCACATAAGACCATGGGCAGATCTCACAGACAAACGCTTTGTGAAGAAGCCAGACCCCAAAGGGCGCACCCTGTATGACTCTAGTCCTACGCAGTTCAAGTGTGGCTGAGGGTGGATTTCAGCACCATGGCTAGTACTGAGTGGCCAGGGCCACGATGCATCTCTCCAGGGCACTGAAATGTTTCATAACTTCTCTGGCTGGTGATTACATGGACATCTGCGCATTCAAAAATTCATCGAGCTCTAGTCTTAATATTTATGTACTTTATGGCATGTATATTTGACTTAAAAATTTTTTGAGGGTGCTCAATATCACTTCAAACAAATGGAAATTAAAACTACGTTGAGATACCATTTCTCACCCATTAGATTGGCCACACACACAAAAAAATGCGGTTATTCCAATATTCTCTTGTCAAAGCTGTGCATCATCACCGGGATGCGAGACGCGGCAGCTCCCGTGAGGCATCACGCGTGCCCTTCCGACATCTCACCCCTGGATTTCCACACACACCTGCACGCATGGAAATGACATGGACACAAGATTCAGCTTCATGACACTGTTTGAAATAGGAGACGTTTACAAACAGCTCAGTGTCCACAACAGGGGACTGGTTGAAGAAATATGTCACGTGTGGTGGAATACTCTGCAGCTGTAAAAATAAGTAAACAGAGCCCCGTTATTTATGTGCTAAGTGAAATATGATGCAACTATGAAAAATATGCAACTGCAGCCCTGGCTGGTTTGGCTCAGCAGTTAGAGGATCGACCTGCAGACCAAAGGTTGAGGGTTCGATTCCAGTCAAGGGCATGTGCAGTCCAATCCCTGGCCCCAGTTGGGGTCATGCAGGAGGCAGTCAATGGATGTGTCTCTCTCATATCAATGTTTTTCTCTTTTCCTCTCCCCCCACGACCCCTTCCCTGACTCTATCTGAAAATCAATGGAAACATATCCTCAGGTGAGGATTAAAACAAAAACAAAACAAAAAAATTGGAATTGTAAAGAGAAAATAAAAAGGAGACACCTGTGTTGCGATATAGAGAGATGCCCAGAATATATAATTAAGTGGAAAATACAGTATAAAACAATGACTATGGAATACAATGTTTTGAGTAAACAAAGCAGGAAAATGAGACTATATATTCCGTTTCTTCTATGTGCATAATAAAAACACTGGAAATATAAACAAGAAACAAATAAAAATTGTTAGCCGCAAGGATGGGAGGGGGGCAAGGGAAACAGAGGATATGAAAGAATCTTCTATATATACCGTTTGGAAATGATTTTGATTTGTGAACTATGTAGATGTCTTGCCCCTTTTTTTAAAAAGAAAAGAACATTAAAAATGAGGTGCAGCCACAGCTACGAAAGCTCGGCCGGGAAACGAAGGTTCAGACCAGTGGAGAAGCGGCGTCTGGGAGAGACAGGCGCACTTGGTCGTCGCGGGGCCTGCGTCTGACGTCACTGCCCAGCGGACTTCACTCTGAAACCTGGTCCCTGGGCGAACGCCCGGTGAGCACCCAGCTCCCTCCAGCCAGCCCAGGTGTCTTCTGGGAAGAGCGGGGAGAAACGGGTGGGGAGAGGAGGGTCCAGAGGAGCTTGAACCACGTCTCCACTTACTTCTTTTAATCGGTAACACAGTAAAAGACAAAGCAACACTGGAAAAATGCAAAGATCGAACACACTCAGGTCGTAGGGGAAAATGTTCGATTGTGTCCTTTTTAGTGAAGACACCGGGGCCTCAGGGAAGAACAAGAGATTTAGTTAACACAAACCCTTTCATCCTTTCTGTGAACAAGCAATACAGGGAAGAATACTTTTTTTTTTAATCCTCACCCAAGGATACTTTTACACTTATCTTCAGACAGAATGGGAGGGGGGGAGAGAGAGAGAAACATTGATGTGAGGAAGAAACATCGATGTGGGAGAGACACATCGATTGGCTGCCACCTGCACGACCCCAGCTGGGGCCGGGGATGAACCGCAACCGAGGTACGTGCCCTTGGCCAAAATCAAACCCAGGACTCCTTGCCCGTGGCTCGAGGCTCTAACCACTTAACAACCGGCCAGGGCAAAGAATACATATTTTGAAACCGAAAACTCACAGCAGACTTTGGCTCATCAAGAAGTCACAGTGAAGCCAGGGCTGTAAGCTGTGAGGGTGCAGCCAGCCGGCGCCCTGCCCCTGCCCTCCCGCAGGCCCCGTGGCCGGATGCACGTCAACACGCACCCCCTACCGGCCAGCCCGACTCCCTGCGAGCACCCTCCTGAGCACGATTCTTGTCCCGGCGGTGGGGAGAGAACAGGAGCGAGGAGGGCAGACTTCTACTGTTACGACAGCCATCATGCCGTAATGACTCAGCACGTCCCCATTTCTAAGCGCCTCCATACAGTTGAGCCTTTTAACTCAACGAGGAGGCAGGGTGTTGGACAGTCCCATTTCACGGGTGAGGGAAGCTGAGGCGGGGGAGGTCAGGTGGCAGCCAAAAACGCATACAGCCCCCGGGCGGATGGGCCTGCCCGCATACCTTCCGGCCTATGCCGGGTCCCGTCCACCAGGCCAGGGGTCCGGCGGGCTCAACCTGAGGAGCTGAGACCTGACTTGACAAATTCCTATCCGTCCACGAGAAGCCAGTTCCCCAAAGTCATGGCCACACAGCGGCCAACGTACCCAGTTCCTGCAGATGTTCTGAATACCAATCCCCCCACATCCGCCGGCACCTTGGCCTGCACGGATCTGAGTTTCCACTACAAAGTGCTACTCCTCTGGCCAAAAGGCTGGACTTCACCATAGAAGCCAGTTTCCCGGTGTTGGTCCCGAGGTGCCTGCATCAGAAATGAACTGGGAACGTGTTTATACAAGACTGCTGAGCCCCCTCCTAGACCCGGGCCGAGCTGGGCTGTGCTGAGGAATCTGCATGTTCACGAGCCCCTCCCCCACACGCTGTAAATCTGAGAATCACTGCGATGTCCCAGCCAAAGAGGAATCCTCGAGGGTTGTTTTAAGGAGACAACCGAGGAAGCCACGTTGACCACGTGCTGGGTGGAAACAGGTGGGGCTCTGGGGTGACTGCAGTCGCCCGGCGGGCGTTAGAAGCAGGGTGGGAGGGAGGCTGGAAGTAGGAAAAGGAATAAAGCTGCCAGGGGCATTACAAAGTCAGGGCAACTCCCTGTTTGTCTTCTACACATGCCGATGCTCACTGTGCCCTTTTCATTTCCTCTCACCCAGGTTCGTGCTCATGGATTGTGTGAGCACACTTCATCGGTCCACAGCCTGTGTGTGTGTGTGTCCTCTGGCTTCTACAAGGGATTTAGCTGCAGTTCATGCAAGACGGCTTAATTAGTCTCCAGGGACTAACAGTGAGCTCCTCTGCTAAGTCATTTCAAAGAGAAGAAAACTGGCTTCCAGAGCTGACGTCCAAAGCATTTCAAATTCCTTTCCCGAGCGGCAGCCCTCCGGGCTCTCCGGTGGGCTGGAGGGGCTGGAGGGGAGCGGCCCGTCCCAGCCCACCAGGTGTGCCTCGTCTGTTCCCCGAGTGGAAGTCGGCGAAAGTGTTACCTAGGAGGGCCGTTGTTTTCATTCCTTCCCTCTGTCCTTCTCCCTGGTCCGTTGTGTATTAGCCACTCCACTGGTGGTCAGAGAAGGGAGGAGGGGAAAGGGCTGTAAATGGTGGTGGGAGGACACTTGACTTGGGGTGGGGAACACACAATACAATATGTAGTTATGTATTACAGAATCAGACATCTGGAATCTACATGATGTTAATAACCGGAGTCACCCCCAAGAACTTCAGTTTTAAAAGTGGTGATCAAGGGCTGTAGGAAGTGATGTTTTCATGTTGCCACAGCAGACAGAAGCCCCCTCCGGCTGGAGCCCGAGTGCCGAGCTCTGGTGCCGCTGTGACCACCGGCCTGCCATGGGACCCGAGTGGCCCGAGCTCCCTGCAGAGGCGCTCCCGTCGTCCGCGAAGTGAGACGTCCTCAGCGGCCACCCAAGGTCCCGGCAACCCAACCAGCCTGCAGCCCTCAGCGACCTCTCTGGACCCCTCGCAGCAGCGTGACAGTGTACACTCCGCTGACCTGAATCCCTCCTCGCCGGCTCAGAGCGTGACCAGCATCTCGGAGTGGGCAGTGGAATGTTCTCCTCCGGCCTGTCTGCCCACGCAGGTCTCTCACCACAACTTCTTTAACCGGGTCTAGCGACAGGATAGAATGGGAATCTCAATGAGACTGTCACCTGGTGCCTGCTCACATCAGGGAAGCGTCCCGGCCTCACTCCGAGGGTAACGGGCCACCGGCTTCCTCCTCCCGTTACCCTTACCAAGAAACATGGGCCGCGGCCCAGGGCACCCAGGGCCCTGCCTCAGATGGTGCAGATGGACCACGGGTCCCTGGCCTTCCCCGAGCTCCCAGGAGAGGCAAGATGGTGGGGCTTCACGGGGGTGGTTTCCGCTGCATGAATCTTAACAGTGAATCAAGATGCACCTCTTCATCGAGCTAAAAGCACAGCAGGTTTGGTTTGGTTTGGATCAGGTTCGATGTTTGTTTATTTTGGCCTTGGATTTGGGTTGGCTTTTTTCTAAAAAATCACACCGTCCGGCCAGCGGTTGAGCGTCGACCCTGCACCAAGAGGTCGCAGGTTCGATTCCCAATCAGGACACATGCCCAGGTTGTGGGCCCGATCCCCAGTGGGGGCGCATGCAGGAGGGGGCCAATCAGTGTTCTCTCTCATCGATGTTTTTCTCTCTCTCTCCCTCTCCCTTCCTCCCTATCTAAAATCAATAAAGGAAAAAAATTAAGTAAAATAAAAGCACGGAGGCCAATCATACATGAGCAGAGAGCCACTCAGAGTTGAGGAAGCCCCGCCCAGCCTCCCAGGGAGCAGGCAGCTCTCCTACGTCTCCAGTCCCAGGACAGGTGGGCCTGCCGCTCAGTCCTTGATACATTGTTACCAATTGCCTATTACGTGCCAGGCACTGTGCAAGGAGCCAGGAACCCTCTGGTGAGTGAACACAGAGTCTCTGCCTTCACCGTGTTTAAATCTGGGGGTTGGGGTGGTGGCGGACAGGTAGTCATCAAGTACCCATAGGAATAAAGTGTAATATCCAATATACATACACAGTTTGTGCACACACACACATTTGGAAAAAGGCCAGGAAGTATAGATACTCAAATGCTGACAGTAATTGCCAGGTAGGGTTTTGTCTTTCTTACCTTCCTTATAATGTCATACATCTTCCGATTGTTTTTTGGTAAGCATTCCACTTTTATAATGAGAAAAAAAAAAATCCATTTTTGTTGTAGAAATGCCATGCAGTTGAAGACTTATTTACATAGAAAAATGTCATCTATTGTTAAAAATTAAAGTTGCAAAACAGCCTGTATAACAAGGTTTGTGATTATGAACATAACAATCACATTATTACATAATGCAATGATCACAAACTGGAGAGACATATACCAAAGTACTAATAGCAATTCTCTTTAGTGGGGTAATAGAT